GATGTTGAACAATCACATTCAAAATTAGATATTGTATTTATCAAAAAACAATTATTTTGATTTAATTCTAATGATTGTTTTTATTAATAATAGGTGATATCACTTCTTTGTTATGCTCTTTATCCAAATGTTTGTTTTCATATATCAAAACGAAAATTATTAACAACAGAAGGTAAAGAAGCATTAATACATAAAAATTCTGTTAATTGTGGACGTGAAATTCCAATATTTCCATCACCATTTTTTGTTTTTACGGAAAAAGTAAAAAAAAAAGAAGAATTTAAATTTTAATCGAATAAAAATCTTTTCTTTTATTTTAAGATAAAAACACGAGCTGTATCAGCTAAACAAATGTCAATGTCAACACCAGTTCAATTATTATTATTTGCTTCTGAACAAGTTGATATTGTTGAATCAAATCTTGTTTGTCTTGATAATTGGTTTGTATTTATAATATTTTCTATTAAATATTTATTTATTTACAAAATTAATTTTAGGATTTTATTAAATATGAATATTGAATTAGCATCAAAAATAGTTTCAATTCGACCAGCTATAGAATCATTAATTATACGATGTACACAAGAACCAAATGATATTATTAATCATTCAGAATCAGTTGAAAAATTATGTAATTTAATTCGTCTTTTATCTGATCAACAACTTGAACATATTTTATGTGAAAAAATTAATGAAAATAATAATAATACAACAGAATCAACTAATTCAAATTTTAAGTAAGAAATGAGTTTCTTTTGTATTGTTATTAAATACAAAATAAAAAAAAAATAAAATATTTTTTTTTTTTTTGTTCAAGTCAATCTTCATCTGAATATCGTCCAAATGAATTATTTCCATCGAATAGAGGATATAATCAGAGATCATTTTATGGTGGACGTAATCGTCCTTTTAATCGATATAATTATCGAGGTAATAATAATACATCACAACAACAATATCGACCACAAAATAAGTATGAAAATATAATAAATATTTATTGAATATATTTTGTTTTCTTTGTTTAAGTATGAGTAGTAGTTCTTTTAGTTTCTCACCTGATTTATCATCTGTTCAAGATAATTCTTCATCATCATTTAATAATAAGAGACAATATGATAATGCATTTTATTCTTCAACATCATCTCCAATGAATGTTCCACCACCGACATCATCCTATCAATCGGAATGGAATAATAATCGTGGTGGATATTCAAATAATTATCGTGGTACTGGTGGATATAGTCGATTTCCGAAACGAAGTCGACCTTATAATTATTAACTAAATGACTTTTTTTTATTGTTTTTTGATTATTTGTTTATGTACTTGAACTTTTTTTTTGTGATATGTCATATTAAATAATGATTGACAGAAAAAAAAACAAACATTAATACTACTAATAAAACAAAATTATCTGACTGAGGTTTTTTTAACAATAAATAATAATCAAAGAAGAATATTCTTTGATTCTATAAAATGCGACTATCTACCAAAGGTTTTTTTTTTTTCGAAGAAAAATTTGAGTTTTAGTCAGAATAAACCTTCTCTTCATGATTATTTTCTTATATTCAACAATGATAAACGAATAAAAAAAAAAGTATCTTTAAAATGATTCATCAATTAGGCACTAATTGTAAATTTTTGATTTCTAAATTATTGTTAGATTTTTTTAACTCTGTGATACGATAAGTATTATTCGTCAGATTTGTATTTTTCAAAAGTATTACAATAGAAAAGTTTAAATATGAAAGAAAATCAAAAGAGAAATTTCATCTTGAACATATTGAAATTTTTTTCCAGCAGACTAACTAGAAGTACTATGTATCGGTATCTTCAAATGCTCATTTACTAAATACTTTTGCATTAGGGTACTCTTGAAGTAGTAAATAGCTATTCAAAAGTTTCTTTGACATATGATATATTGAGAAAATATTGAAAAATAAATCTTGAAATGGAAAAACATCGAAAAAAAAGTGACGTCTCCAGTAAATGATGATTCTAAGCATATATGGTTCATTATTGATTTTCTTATAATTCTACTAGACTTGATTTTTAACCAGTAATAATTCTGATGAGTAATATCTGATACAGATAAAATAATCGGATGAAAAACTATTATATAACTAAAATTCTATTGTCATGACTACAGTTACTTCATTGTTACTAGCTTTAACTGAATGAAAATTATCATCTACTTCATTTATACGTTAATAAAAAGAAAAACTAGGCTCATAGGAGATGAATATGTTTTCATATTGAATAAAATAACAACTATCAAATATTTAGAAATGTACAATGAATGGATAGAATCAACAAGAATTTATATGAATTTGAATAATTAATAATTTAATATTGATCCTTAGAGCAAGATCAAAACAATTCCAATTCTATGTCGTACTGATAATCTTGATGAACGATGTTGTAAATCCTATGGAATACTTAGATTGTTTATCATTTACAGTTACTAAACAAAAACAAAGGATATTTTTTTACTATTTTTTATCTCTAGACTTATGTTTAGCTTCTGTTCGAATGTTAATATTAAACTTATATACTAGTCAGAATTTTCTAAAACATTTTGCGACTATTTTTCATATCGATAACCTTCGGGGAAAATTTTTATAGTCAACCTGACATATTCGTAACTGGGTACCTCGACGAGTGTCTTGACTCACTACATTCACTAGTACATACGAGTTACTTTAATCATGATAGAAAAAAATATTTCAATTTAATAAATTAGATATCTTTTCATCTATTTAAAATTTATCGAAAAAAAAAATTATTAGAAATTTCAATATAAATAGAACAACAAATTTGATTCTATCTTCAATCTAAAAAATAACATTGAATCTAAAATATTCAATATTGTCCTCTACGAAAATCATCCCGTAATACAAAACGACGAGATTTGTATATGATTTATTCTTTCTGTATTTATTTTCTTTGCACATGACTTATTTTATTTAATGAAGTGTATCTAGTAATATTTTATATAACATGACGCATAAGGCTTTTCTTTTCTTTTCTTCTCTCTTTACCTTTCTCAGCTCATCATTTGAGTAACGAAACAAAACGATCAAGATGAAAATGTTTCATCATTTGAAGACTAATGAAAATGAATCAATTGAAATGAATTCAATAAATGATCCATCTTTATTATCAAAAGAAAAACGCATTCAACAAAAATTCTTTCGGTTAGTTTCAATTTATATTTGAAAAAAAGAATTTATTTTTTAAATTTAATTTAGTACAAAACATATTTCCGAAAAATGGAAAAATAGCGGAGCAAATCCACTAAAAAGTCGACGAAGAGTTCTTAGGTTTAGTTATTATAAAAATTTTCTCAAATTTAATATAGATTAATATATATATATTATTCTTTTTCTAGTAAAGCTTTAATCAATACAACTGATAGTTTAATTCAAGTTAATAAACATAATTATAATTCACCAACAACAAAAAACAAACATGAACAAAATCATGATAGAATAACAATAAATATTAGTGGTAAACGTTATCAAACATATTCATCTACACTTGAAAATTATCCAAATACATTATTGGGTAATAAACAAAAACGAATGCGTTATTGGAATGAACAAGAAGAAGAATATTTTTTTGATCGTCATCGTGCTTGTTTTGAAGCAATACTTTATTATTATCAATCAAATGGACGTCTTCGTCGACCAGATTATGTTCCATTAGATACATTTTTAGAAGAAGTTTCATTTTTTGATTTAGGTTCACAAGCTGTTGCACAAATAAATAAATCAGAAAATGTTTCTATGATTAAATATATTAATTTACCTAATTGGTTTTGGCGTCGTTATATTTGGTTTTATCTTGAATATCCTCAACATTCAATATTTGCTCGAATTCTTCATTCAATTTCAATGTTATTAACTGTTATATCATGTATAACATTAGCTATTGAAACTTTACCACAATATAATAATTTATGTATAAATGAAAATAATATAACATCATCAGAAAATGATATTAAATTATGTTCAGCAACATTTTCTTCACCATTTTTTATAATTCAAACAATATGTGTATCATATTTTATAATTGAATTTATATTACGTTTAATTAGTACACCATCATATTATAAATTTATTCTATCAATATATAATTGGCTTGATTTATGTGCTATTGTACCTTATTTTATATTTTTAGGTCTTGAATTATATCATTATCAAATAGAATTACATGGAAGTTTAGTTACTGGTTTACGTGTATTAAGAATATTAAGATTTTTACGTTTAGTAAAACTTTATTTAATTTTTAATCAATTAAAATCATTACGTGTTCTTAGTTCAACATTAAAAGAATCATTTACAGAATTTATTATTATGATGATTATATTGACTTTATTAGCTTTTATGTTTGGAGCTGCTACTTATTTTGCTGAAGAAAATACTAATGGTCAAGTTTTTGATTCGATTCCAAAAGCTACTTATTGGGGAATAATAACTATTACAACAACTGGGTACGTTTTTATATTGGTATTATCTAAAAATATAAATTTCATTCGAGAGATGGACAAAGTTGAGCTTCCTTTTATTTAATATAACAATTAGACATAGATTAAACTTCAACTTTCAACTTTAGTTTTGACTGCAGGCATTTTAGTTAATTTAAAAAAATAAAAACTGAACGTATGTGAGTATCCTAAGAAAAATTTAATAATTGTCAGAAATATCCAAACTCAAACTGAATCGAAGATTAGTGATTGCTCAAAATATACTGCAAGAAGGGCTTGTACCAGAGATGAAACCGGTACCGATACGACTTTTAGACCGGCCGGTCGCCGATAGACCAGTCAACTGGTAAACCGACCTATCTAATATTTTCATACTAGTATCAGTACTAGTTGTCAAAAATTCAAATCGGTCTCATTTCTATATCAGGCATGTGATACAATTTGGCAAATCAAGTTTGCCACGCAATAAACCGTATTCTCCATATCTAAACTACTTTTTTTTTTTCTGTGACTTATCAATGTATCATGCGTTACCGGTAGACCAGTCGGTCCGCTCCACTCTAAAAAATTTTAAACCGATTCCATCTCTGGCTTGAACAATTAGTCAAATACCCGATATTTTCTGAACTGTTTGAATAGTTCCCGAATACGAACATTACATCAGAGTTTAGATTTGGTACATATCTAGACATACTTATTGATGGTCTATAGATTAATGAACATCTTCGCATAAGTAAAGATTCAAAAATTTTATCAGTAATTTTGATTGTGAAAAATCACAATCTAACTCTTTGAAAAAAACTTGACTTTGTATATAGTATTATAATTCGAAGTGATTGAGATGTTTCGATAGAATAAACAATATTTAACTAAAGAAATTTATATGTCAGTCATAAATACAAAATTGAAGCATATCTTTGTTTTGAATAGTTTAACATGATTTTTATATTTGTGCAAACACCATTTTTTTTCTACACGAACGAAAAATTTCTTTTCCTGATTTCATCTTTTTATCACTTAATAGGTTTTATTAAAAAAAAAAATATACCACAAGATACAACTTGAAAAGCTCTACCATCTACAAAATAACGGTTATTTTAATTGTAGAGCTTTTCACACTGCATCTTATAGTATATTTTGTTTTTTAATAAAACGTATTATATGATATAAAAAAATAAAATGCAAAGTGCAGCCAATGTATTATGGATCATCCATTATCTTAGAATTTCTTAGATAGTGTATGAGAGAGCTAATCTTATACAACATATAATTGATAGATTTGTTAGAGTATGTCGAAAATAAAATTTAACCGATATGAATTTCAAATCGATTAGTCTAATAGTAGTATCAATGACTTAGCGCTATCAATGATCAATAAATCAGACTTCTTCCAAATGATTTGTACAAGACTTGATTCTTTTAATATTGATTATATTTAATAAAAAATATTTTTTTATAAATTAGATATGGAGATATGTATCCAATAACAATAATTGGTCGAATATTGGCATGTATATGTGCTTATTTTGGTGTTGCAACAAGTGGTATACTTGTATCTATACTTGTTGATCGTTATCAACGTGTTTATAATCGAAAAAAATTTTTTCCTGATCAAATTATATCAGCAGTTGATCCAAATGAAAGTGAACATGAAGAAAAACAAGATTTTATAAATAGAGTATTAAGTGAATCTCACAGAGTATTATCAAATACACAATTTATACCACCGACACCAACACCTTCAATATCTTCACCAAAATATAATAGACAACCTTCGAAATATAATAGATTAGCATCTCGCGTTCGATTTTGTATTTCATTCACTGATGATCAATCAATGTCGCGAACACCCGATGTAATTTTGAATGAATTAGAAGAAGCAGTAAAAGATAGTGGCGAAGAGATTAATTTCAAATTAATTAATCGTCAAGAAGATTCTTTTAATGATAGAATAACAACTGCAAATATACCATCTTCTAATTCTATATACCAAATGTTCTAAACAAAATTTGAACTTCTTTTTTTCTATTGATATATTATGCATTTATTTTCGTTTTTTTTGGCTTAACTATCTACTAATATTCATTAAATTTATATGAAAATTACTGACATAGTCAATAAAACATTCACAAATGCATATTTATAAAAAAAATTTCAAACTGATAACGTATTTAGACTAACGAGAGAAATCTCTTTCAATTGATAATCTTCATTCGATTTCATATTTTGCTGATTGTTAGGGTTCATAACGGAGATAAAAATCCTTCGAGAATTTATAATATGAGCTCTTTTTTTCTTTGAGTTATAGTCATTTTATTGAATTTTCAGTCGATTACAAGAATTGAATCAACGAATTTTACTCTTAAAATGTGTTCAGAAATAAATTTCATGACTTTTATAATATTCTAAATGTTTCAACAATAACGGATAGTTTTTTTGTTGAGATAATCATAGTTGCACAACCATTGGTTTCTCGCAAAAGGTTTTGAACAAATTTGATTTTTATTTGAGTATGCAATATCTTATGAAGACACCATCCATTTTTTTTGTTGCAACTTTCAAGATATTATAAGAATTATGAAATTTATTTCTGGTTAAAACTTCAGACTAGAATTTCTTGATTCAATTTTTTTCATCATAACTTAACATTTAAAGACAAGAATCTATCTGTATAATAATAATATGTTATAGAAGCCATTGAGTTTATTTATTGACAATATGTTTCGTATAGAAGGATTTAAAAATAGCAAAAACAAAATGCTGTATATTTAGAGAAAATTTAGTTTTATTTTTAAAAAATTTTTCTATCTCAATTAGTATAACAATGATGGTTCTAGTTAATTAAACAATTTTAAAATATTTTCATAATTATAATCAACTGCACAAATAATAATTACAAACTTTTCTTTTTTACAAAATCGAAAATAAAGCTAATAAACATCCTTTGCGAAATTAATTAAAATTTTACAGAAACTTTAATATGTATTTAAGCAAATTCTAATATAACTGTATTCGTGACATAAATGACTAAAAGTACATTTAATGGATAGGATGAAATACGATCTTTTAATCTATTGATTAATCCTTAAAAGCTCAAGGGGACTTCTTTTGCAATAGAAGGAAGATAACTATAAAAACAGAGCTGATGGATCTTTGGTACACTCATGCTATAGCTAAAACGAAATACCTTTTTCATCAGATATCTTAACACTATGTTTAACAACATCACTTTAAAAAAAGCCAAAGCTGCACGTTGCTTATATGAATAATAAAAAAATCTTCAGAAAAGAAAAATGATGTTAAAAAAAATTATGAGTCGTAAAAGATTCGTTGTTTGGCTTAGGAGTGACTTAAGAATTCTATTTTCATCTCTGTATGATCACTAAGGTGATGTCAATTCAGAAAAATGTTGGTTTTTGTATATAAACTTTTGTAGTAGAATTTATTGAAATTATTCTAATGTCCCTTGGAAGAAACATTGGACTCTTAAACGGTTAAATCTAACAACGTTGGATAGTTAACAATATAAAATAGCAAAAACTGTCTCTATTACATCCCTGTTTTTTTGTGTAATCCTATAAAATGCTGAAAATCATGTGAGAAACTATTTCCATTCACTAGTGGATAAACTAGATCCCGAAAACTGAGTGATAGACAACAATTTGAATTCGACAATAATTCTATAATCTTAAAAGTAGATGTCGTACATGTATATCTATCTTGCGAAGTTTTTTGTTTCTGTTTGAAATAATAAGTTTTAAAAAGTTTATTTTATTTAATTCAATTAATATTTAATATTAATAGAAATAAAATTGAATTAACAATGTGGAGGTAATATTAGCTTAAAATCCATTTTGTACCAAATACATTCTGGCTCTCTTTTCTTTCGTTCATTCCCAATTAATTTAACTATTTTCTTTTGATTTTAAGTATTCTCCTCAATAAAAAAAATGGCTGTTTCTTCTTCATCTCCAATTCCTTTTATACCAATTGATCCTCGTATTTATTGTGAAACGATGAATGAACTTCATTCATATATCACAAGTTCTAAACGTGGTTATTTAACACAAGCTGAACTTTTTCGTTACTATCGACAACGACATGATAATGTTGAAATACCTTATCGTTTATTAGGCTATCGATCATTACTTGATTTACTCAGTAGTGATCAACGTCTATTTGCTATTGATTTACGTCGTGAACCAGCTTATATTTATTCAGCAGTTAAAGTAACTATTATAAAAAAAAACAAAACATAAATATTAAATATAAATGTTTTTGAAATTTAGCTTCGTCAACAAAAACGAGAACGGCGACGTATGTTTTTATTAAATAATAAATCCTATTATTTAAATAAAAAATTCTATATGATAGAAGGTAGTACAAGTTTTTCTCGTCAACATCATTCAACAAATACACTTGATGAACAACATATTATACCTCCTGATTATGTTTTTTTTGTAAGAAAAAGATCTGTTTTTTTTTTTGATTCTATTATTTATATAAAAGGATCATCATGTACCATTAAATGAACACTATCACCAACAACAACAACAGCAGCAAAATATTGAATCATCCGATGAACATGAACAATCGATTGAGATACAAACTGAACGTCCATTAACACCAAATAATCATAACAATTTTGATAATAATGTTTGGGTAAAATTTTTCAAAAGAAAAAAAAATTATAATTTATTAAATTTAATTTAATTAAAGCATACACCACAATTAGATGAACAAACTTCATTAATGGATAATAATAATAATAATATTAATTCCGAGGAGAGAAACAAAGAATCAATTCAATTTACTTCTAATCCATTTTTACCATTACCACCTGTTTGTCTTTCATCAATTACAAAAAAATATTCTAAAATTTATTTATTTTAGGAAATCAATGATTCATCATCATTAATTAAATGTGAAAATCAATATAAACCAATTCAACGAAAAATTATTTTTCAACATGATAATAATCAAGAAAATAAATTTCCAATAATTCGAGTAAATATTATTGTAATATAGAGTCCTGTACGGGTACTACTTTTCGCACCCGGACCCGGCCCGGCTCATTTTTTTCAAACCCGGAATCCGACCGGACCCGGTCATCTTCCACCCGGAACCGAACCGGACCCGGATAGCTCTACCCGGTACCCGACCGGACCCGGCCCAGCCTTGAAATAGTCAGCACTTGATTGTTATTGTCAAAATTATATTCACTTTTCAAACTTTTATTTCATATGGCAAAATATACTATTATTTTAATTTCATCAAGTAACAATTTGTACCCGGACCACAGTTCCGGGTCCGATCGGGTGCCGGGTATCCGGCCCCGTTGCAGGACTCTATCCTAGAGTGTAAAATACTTTTACTTGTTAAGATGTCATCGACTACCGGTCGGGTACCGGGTATGCTCAAATTCTGCACCCGACCCGGCATTTTTTTTTTATACCCGGCACCCGAACCGACCCGGCAAATTTGTACCCGGACCACAGTTTCGGGTCCGGTCGGGTGCCGGGTACCCGACCCCGTTGCAGGACTCTATTGTAATAATAAACCTAAAAAAAAAAGTTTCTATCTATGAATCTCAAGAGTTAATTATGTCGTAATTAATATTTATTGATGAATGATTTTAGATAATTTAGTTTAATAAAAATGAAAAATTTTCTTATTATTTATTGATAGGATGTAACATTATTAAAATTTTCAACTCCACGTCTTAATCGATCAATAAGTACATCAACAACATCATTATCAAAATCATATTCTTGGTATTTAATTGATTCATATATATTTCTATTTGCTGTTGTTATTTCTTTTATATTTCTTAGTATTTATTTATATAAACTTTGTTAAATTAGTTTTATTTTATTTAAATTAGCTTTTTTTTTTTTATTTATTGAAATCCTGAAGAAGAAGAAACAGTTTCTATTTTTTTTGTTTTACTTTATATGTATTATATATTTTCATTTATGATTTATTCATGCTTCGTTTTACTAAAAGATGATAAAAAATAAAATATGTCTATATATGTAACGGTTGATATTGATCTATTTTGTTTGCAGAAAACAAAAAATCATGCGAAATAATGATAAAACTAAACTACATGAAAATCTTAAACAAGAAATTCGTTCATTATTAATTAGTTCACCAAAAACTAAATATGGAGGATTATCAGGTTCATTATTATATTCCGATTATAAAAAATTAAATTCTGGTAAAGAAATACCATGTAAGTCATTTAATATTAAACTTATTAAGCGAAAAAAAAAGGGATAAAACTCAAAAATGGTGCCATTTTAGTTCTGAAAATTTAAATACATCACATGAACGTGAACTGGAAAATTTTGTTTGTGCATTCGAGATATCATGAATTAAAAAAAAAAAAACGAAAAAGATTTTTGGTTTTATTTTTCGAATAGGGAATGGCAGAAATTTTCGGAAAAAACAAGGTACCGAGTAAAAAATTTTGTCATTTATGAGAGATCAGATCATGGGATATCTTTCCCTGCATTTATCTAAATTTTGATCATTCTGATGAAAAGTGAGTTCTGTTTTTTGAGGGGAGAGGGTCTTAACAAAAACATTTCTATTCCTATTACGATGTCTTTAGTTTTTTGTATTCTTATTTACACTTGATTGAAGCTAATGAAAAGACTAAAGGTTGACGGTAGTTTTTAGAAAAAAATTGAAAGATATTTATAAATCTAGATGGTGAACTTGGTTTTCATTCATTTTTGGCTTTATTACGTTCAATGCCTGATGTTGTTAGAATTGAATATAAAGAAAATAGTCCATCATATCGTGTTCATCCAGTATATGATGAAACAACAGCACATATTCAAAAAATGGTATTTGAACAACGTGATAAATATGAATATCAAAATCAAGTAAAATAATAATAAATGCTTATGATAATTAATAAAAATATCTTTTTTTTAGCTGTACAGTCAAAATTGGTATTCAAATAATGACATAAAACAAAATAAATTAATTTCATTAAATTGTAATTCTTTTTAAAATATTTTTTTTTTGTATTTTCGTTTTTTTTTAGTTTATAATAATAGACAACGACCATTTTTATATAATACTTTTTCTCGTTGTAAGTTGTATAGAAATTTTCGTTTTTACAATTAAAATTTTTGCTTTTTAATTACAAGATACATTAAACAATTATGGATCCCATTTTTCGGTATATATATTAATTATTCAACTAAATGTAAATGATCGAAATTTTTTGAGTTCTTTTTTTTTTTGTTTTTGTTTTAAGAATAATTTTCATCCTAATAGTAAAAATTTCTTCAGACGATCTTCTAGTTAGTTAATATTTTATTTACATAAAAAATTAGTTTTTTAAATGATTTTTTTGTTTTGTTAGTTCCACAAAAATTATTTATATCAAATGAAGGACGAAAACAATTTTCTTTTCAACCATATTTACTTGTAACATCAACTGATGATGATGATAAAAAAATCAATTTTCAATCTATTAATAAATTAACATCGATTAATAATCATAAAAACGAACAAGAAGAAACACCTCCTAATTTTGATCTTAATGATTATCATTTAAGTGAATCAATCGAACAAGTAAGAATAAAAAAAAAACACAATTTATTTATTCAATTTATATTTTGTAAGGATACTGACGAACAAACGAATAATAATTCAACAATCAATCATCAAATTGGTTAGGATTTATAATTGATAATTCTTTCAATATTTTATTTTTTTTTTTTCAAAAATATATATTAGAAGATCAATCGAATAGTTCAGAATATTCTGTTCAATCAACATTATCAATTATAAAAGAAGGTAATTTTTTTTTGTTTTTATCTTAACTTGAATATTCAACATAAAAATAAAGATAAGCGATATGTCTAGCATGTTAGCGATCAGAGATGGACAAAATCGCGCCGCGCCACTGCTCGCGCCTAGGCGCTACGCACATCTCTCTTTCTCTTTGCTCTACCAATCAGTTTCTCAAACTCCACCGAATACCAGGATGCTCTAAGCATGCGCTCATCGAAGCTCAGACTAGTGTAGCGTAGGCGTGAGCAACAGCGCGGGGAGGCGCGGTGCGACTTTGTCCATCTCTGGTAGCGATAAATTTTCAACTGTAATATGTATCTTTGAAAGATGATATTCATCATTAGCTCGAAAATATTGACAATCTTTATTAATCTCTTTTGTATGAAATATAATAACAGTAGGAAACAATTTTATGAAATTTATAATGTAAATAAGAACAGAAAAGAATCATTCATTTGTATGTTTGTTTTTTTTTCATAAAGATTTCAATGAATATAGATTGATTTAAATTCACAGATTTTTTTCTCTATTTTTCAGAAAAATCCTCATTAAATAAAGAATTATTTTTTGAAATTTCTCATTATGATGAACAAGAAAAAGTAAATAAAATTTTATATTTATGTTTCTTTTTTTTTTTCTTTTTGATATTTTTAGTGTAAAATTGATGAAAATCGAAAATTAATAAAACGAATAAATAATGCACTACGACAATGTATTCATTTTCGTTATATTCATCGATTATATGAACTTAAATTTGAATATCGTGATTATCCATCATCAATTGAAATAACATTAATAAAATCTAAACTTGAAAAAAAAGCTTTTAATAAATATCAACAAGAATTAGAAGAATTTGAAAAAATATCACAATTAAATACATTAATTGATGATCAAATATGTCAAACAATGTTTGATGAATACATTTATTTACAACGACATTATTATTATATGACTAGATTAATGAGAAAAAAAACAAACTAAAATAAAAATGAATTTTTATTTTTTAAGAAAAAAAAAACAGTCTTTGTTTTATTTGTATTGATATAGATTTTTTTTTTGTGTTTTGTATTTAGATAAACTAAAAAAACAAATCGAATCCTTCAGTCCTTTGAAATTTAATCATGGCCTTCCTCAAGAATTCTCAATAGAGTTGAAATTCTCTCTTTGCTGCATTCTATTAAAAGCGAGATATTTTTTTTTTTACAAAAAAATTATGACAGCTCTCGCCAGTGTTGGCCGCTTCTTCGGACTACCATTGAATGTAGGTACACCGTCAACTATTGGATGCTGCTGCTTTACTTCACATTACGATAATTATTAGTTTCCTATGAAATCAAAATTTTATCATAAGACTTTGTTGTATATTAATAAATGAGTATTTTTTGTTTTCTGGAGATTGAACATTTTCGGGAATTGATTCATTCGTTTTTAAAATATTTTAATGATTAGACAAAAAATTCTGATTCAAATTCTTAGTTCTTGTTTTTTTTTAATGGAAATATCATACATTCAGTAATAGACTATTTTATACTGTTAGAAAAGAATATATTAGACATATTCAGATCAAAATTAAAGCTTTCACTATTTAATTGAGGCAATTATAAAATCTTAGGTGCTTAGGATGTGAACCAAATCAGATAATGAATTTTTTAAAGTATTCATACAAGTCTGAATATTATATATTTTTCTTTTTTCGTAATGATTAGATTGAGATCATCGAGTTGGATAGAAGAAAAGTGTTTAACAGTTCAAAAAAAAAATTTGTAAAGAACTTATAAAAAGATCCATAATAGTATTATCTTCAGATATAAGAAAAATAGACCAAAATTTCTAACTTTTAAAAGGTCTTTTGAAAGTTTTATTGTAAGTTTGAAGAAACGCACTTTTTTTCTTATACAACTCAATGATTTCACTCTAATCATTACGGAAAAAAAAGAATAATAATATTCAAATTTCGACTCCTTACATATATCCTTCAATGCACATCATAGGATGCTTAGATTTTACATTAGTTAGTTTTTCAAAACGAGCTTCAAATTGACATAAATATGTCCAACTACTAAAACATTCCATTGTAAATAATCATATTAAGTTCAAACGGTGAAAATATTTATCGGTAAGATTTGTAAAATTGTTAACGTTATTCACTCTATTAAACTTTCAATACATATCTTCATAACAATATCTTAGAATAACGTGGGAGGACACTTTATCGTTACTTTACTCAATAAAGTGCTCATCTTCAATTAACTCGATCAAGTAAAGTAGTTTGACTTTATCATCGTATTTTAAATGAAACTAATTATGAAAGAAAGAAATAAGGTCAAATTAATCATAGTAAACATGAAAAGTATTTAACATTTACGGCCACTAGGATTATTAGGTGCATTTACTTTTTGAAGCAACAATGATTTAAACAAGATCAATCAATCTATAAATCAAAATCAGTAATTAATTCTATTATTTGGAAGAATTTCGCATTTATAAAAAAAAGAATCATAATTGGACAGACAACTGTTCTCTACACGTATTCAATTAAGAAGAATAAATTTCATATAATAATACTCAAAATAAAGATTAGTTTGAATAAAATGACAAAACTTATTAGTATTATTTTTTTTCTTTTAAACTAAGTAATTAATCTTTAAAAAAAAAGCATTTAGTTGTCAATATTTTCTTGCTAAAAATTCTATGTTTTTTATTAAATACATATTTAAACTTTAAATAATAAAATATATTTACAAAAAATAACAAGATTAGGTTTTTGCTTACGAAAACTAATTGTATATAGATGATTTAACAATAAATCAACACTTTATTTTTTTTTATTGAAAATAATAAATTTATAAAATTTTTCAAACTTCAAATCAAATCAAAAAGAAATATTTCAAAATAAAATTTTTCTAAATCGACTTTTTTTCAACTGAATTAAATGTTTAGATCAAAAATTATATAAAACAAACTCATGATTTTTTTAACGAATAAAATATTTTATTCTAAATAATTTTTAATTATATTTATTCCTTCTTGATCTTTCTTCATCATTTTAAATAATATTAAAAAAAAAACCTAAGTCATTTTTTGACATAGCGTGCATCAATTATTCGTTATTAAACTATGCAGACAGACCTTTGTATATAATATGTTAATAAAACAAAAGAAAAAGGAAAATAAAATATGTCCGTAAAAAACATAGTCACGTTAACAAACGCAATCAAGCTTAGATGATGATAAGTTTAAGAGAATATCGAGTTCTATATGACATCAACTGAAGAGAAAAACGGTGTTAATAATAGACTAACAAAGAAGAAAAAAAAAAAAAAAAGGGAAAAAAATAAGAAGAAAATATAAAATGCTTTTAATTGAAATAAAGACAAGGCTTTTTATTTTTGCTTGTTAATTCATTTTTCATATGTGGCAAGATCAAAAGCAAACATCAAATTCTCCATTTGATTGTGCTGTATGTGGTGCTTATGTTTATGGAAATAATTCTGGTATTCGGACATGTTTACCATGTAAATCTTTTTTTCGACGTCATGCTTTTTTACCACCTGATGTTTGTTGAATATAATAAATAAAAGATTTTTTTTTAATGATTTTTTTTTTGTTTTATTTTCTTAGACATTAAAATGTAATCAAAATGGAACATGTTATATTGAAGCAGCTCAAAGATATTTTTCAGCATCATTACCACCATGTCGAGCTTGTCGTTTAAAAAAATGTTTATCACTTGGAATGGATCAAAATTTACTTCGTAGACGTTCTGCAAGTAGTCCACCTTCAATATTAATTGATAGATTTTTCAATAATACGATTATTAAAACTTCTTCATTAGATGAAAATGTTGTTTTATCTACAGTAAGTCTATTTGAGAGTATCGTAAAATGATTTCATAGAAGTAATTTATAAGTATATCTATTAAATGACAATAAATTTATTTATTTATTTTTTTCTTCTATCTCTAAAGAAACAAACAACAACGAATATAAATACAAAAATGAATAATAATAATGAAATAAAATTTAATCGTATTCGTTCTTCAAGTGATATTACTGATCGTCAACAACAATTTTAACAAATTTCATTCACAAAAAAAAAGACATTTTTTTGTTTTCTTCCATAATTCTAGCAATATTGTACTGTTCATTAAATATATTACTGTATATATGTAAATTTCTCTGTTATACAGTTCATTATTATCTTTAGAATAAATAACGACATCCAAATATTCTTCTTAGAAGATTTAAGAATAAAGTAAAAAACATTATGTCTGTGAGAAAGAAAAAATATGACTTTTTCTTCGTTCTTAATAAATTCTGATTCTATAAATTATATATTATTTCAAATACAATTAGTTCTTCTTTATGTGAATAGTAATTATTTGCCATATAGATTTTGTTCACTATTAATTAAATAGCGGTGTTTTTTTTTTATTTTAATTCTTAGCTACTTCTAACTCGTTTCATCAAAAAAATGATGAATTGTACTTATCCATAAATAAAACAAAATTTATAAGATAATATCAACTTCTACTTTTTGATTTAATATAAAGAAAATGCTTTTTTGGAGAATCAAATTATATCAAAACTTTTAATTGAGAAATAACAACAAAAAGTCATGTTTCTTTTATTCTAATTAAAAATAAAATGTAAATAGAATACTTGAACACGATGTGTCTAGATGATGAATATAATCATTGAGAATAATTTTTTTCTTTTCAAATCTATTAATTATTTTGAATGTATTCTATAAATTTGCGAGTTATTTTATACTAGGAAAATATATTTATTTTCCTTCATGAAAAAAACCAAAATGCAAAACATATTCTCAGCTATAAAACGCGTTGTCGGAATTCTTAGAAATCGATTAAACTAATAATGAGAATAGAAAATAGATGTTGTAGAAAGATGATTGCATTCATTCATAGACAAAATTCTATAAAGAATAGGTAATAAAGCTAGTTGGAAAAGTTAATTAATTTTGACTTATTCTAACATTCCATAGTTCCATTATTGTGTTAATCTTCAACTATTAACAAAGTCTTTCGCATGTAGTCTAAAAAAAAAACTTTTGTTTTTTTTTTTTCTATTGAATCATATTTTGAAATAGAAAAATTTTAAGTCTCTCTCTCTCTGTCGTTTCCAAACAAAGTTCATATAGGTCAAAATTAAAATAAATGCATGGAATGATAACTCAAAGTCACATCTTTCATAAACAATATTTTATGTCGCTTTTAATGAAAAACTTTCGATGATTTTTGTTATATTTTTCGAAAGAAACGTGTTCAGTGCGCATACTTTAGTACAATTTAAAATTCGATGAAACTTTTATAGCATGTTGTTTTTGTTTTTTTCATTGTTTGATATGTCTACTTAAAGCCATACTGACAAAAATTAGGCATTGTAGTAATATTGAAATTGTACTCAGAAGAAATTTGAATTTTTCATTATCATATAAAATTATAAATTTAATAAAGTAAATAATTTTATTTTTGTTATATCTGATTATAAGTAGAAAAGAAAATATATCTGACAATTCAATCAAGAAATCTATTTTTTATAAACATTAATATTTTTCTTGTTTTTATAAATTGATCAAATTTCTCCTGATAACATTGTATTGAAATCTAAAATAAATAATTTAATAATAATAATTATATATATAACACACAAAATAAATAAATAACAAACCACTTCTATCTAATGTTTCATTTTGTTTATTTGTTTGTGATTGTTGAACAAAACGTGCAAATATATCAATAAATGGTTTAAGAGATGTTTGATTATAATCTAATATTTTTAGAAAAACAAAAATAAATTTTTTTTATTTAACTAATATTAAAATAACCTTTTTGTTTAATAGAAATTTTTTCATTTAATCCATCTTCATATTGTTTTGGTAATTGTTCAACTTGTTGACATAATTCATTTAATTTTGGTACTGAACCTTCTTTACATGGATCAAAATATCCTAATGAATTTAAATGAATTGGTATTGATACACGACCAGTTTTTGGATGTATACTAAATGGTGATTTAAGTAAATGATTCATTCCTTTTGTTACATTTACATCAAGACGTGGATAACTATATTCAAACATTATTTCATCAATTAATGTTGTATAAACAGCTTTACGAAACTATTTAATGAAAAAGAATGTTTTTATTAAATAATTAAAAATATTAGAGAAGACAAAAAGAATAAAATACTTTCGTAGTCGATGTTACGGAATTAATCATTGCATCAGTATGTTGTTTAAAAGCAGCCCATCGTTCTGCTGATGTTGTTAATTGAGAAAATATTTCTCGTAATGTTGAACGACGTAAATAATTTAGTTAAGGAAATAAATTTTTATATGATATAAATACATTTTTTCGGGAAGGGGGAGAAAGAAAAACTTTTAAGTATTGTGCAAATGATGAGTCCGTATCAGAGATGGACAAAATCGCACCGCGCCTAGGCGCTACGCACATCTCTCTGTTTCTCTTTGCTCTACCAATCAGTTTCTCAAACTCCACCGAATACCGGGATGCTCTAAGCATGCGCTCATCGAAGCTCAGACTAGTGTAGCGTAGGCGCGGTGCGACTTTATCCATCTCTGGTCCGTATTATCTATGAAACTCTATATATATCTTTATAGGTTAATTTTTTTACGATTAACACGAACTCATCATTTGCAAAAAAAAAAAGATTTCAAATCGATTTCTATAGGATATTTAAAAGAAACAAAAAAAAGAAAAGGATATTATCATCAGGAACAATTCGAAGAAATCGTTCAATACGTTGATCATCTCCAAGAAAATCTTGTTCTAAACATGCATATCCATCAAATTCAGTTAAAATTATTTCACGAGCTCGTCTAAATTAATAATTAACATCGAAATTCAAAAAATTTCTTTTCAATTTACTGAAGTGATGGATGTAATGGATGATAAAGTGTAACACGTTTTGATGATTCTTTTCCACTCTAAATTCAAATATATAAAAGATTTAAAACAAAAACTACTAAAAATGATCATACAGTAACAATAGATATATGTTCAACAATAGCTTGTCGAATACTTGATTGTAATTCTCTTGCTATTTGATCACAAACCCAACAATGAACACCACGTCGACCAGAATAAATCCATAAACGATGTTCAAAACCAAAATCTTCTTCAAAAAACAAATAAAGTTTCGTTTTTCTGTAAATGAAATTAAAATAAGAACAAACCATGTAATACACGATCAATAATTTGCATAGCAAATCTCATTAATGTCCAACATTTAGAACAAATATCAGCACCACTTAAAGATAATATTTTATATTTAATAATAGAACAAAAAAAATTATTTACCGACAACAAAATCGAACATCATCATAATCTGTCATATCAATATCAAAGACAAGTTCACGTTCAATTGGATAAAATTGGGCTGGAGAAAGCATTTTATGATCTTTTGGCTAAATTATTTTTAATAGAATAAAAAATAAAATCATTATAACAAAAAAAATATTACTTTAGCTGAATAAACAGCACCAATATCAATTTTTTCTGGACACATTTTTATTAATTCTTTTTCAAATTCAATATGATTAGAAAATGAAAGATAACGACGATAAACATCATTTTCAAGTGTAAAACTAAATTCACGTTGAGCAAATTGTGAACTTGCTGCAGCTGAAATTATTTTAAAATATCAAAGTTTTATAGAAAAAAAAATATATATTAAACTTATACGATATATTTACTATAAATTGTCTTCTCTATAGTTTTGCCTGGCAGGAACAACTGAAAGTTTGACAGACAACTGGAAGCAATTTGATTAGCAAAAGTTAAGGAGAAAAGATGTTTTCTGATAAAAGCTCAAAATTTTTGCAGACACAACGTAAAAAATGGGAAAGAAAGAGCTAACTTAGTTCACATCGAGACCTCGAGTCGCTCTATCATCTATTAGAAAGTCAAATTCAATTAAAAAAATTTCTTTGCTCTGTATTACCATTATCGACTTCATTTCCTTTTCGAATGAAGTTTGTGCAACAACACGGTGCTACATAGCTTCTTCTTTTTTTGTCCATAAGTTCGGTTTAATATTAAGATTTTTTCCATATTAATCCTTTTGATAATCAATTTCGACTTTCAAATTTTAAACAACTCCATATATATACAATATTAGAAAATTAAAACGACAGATTATATTCGATTATTGTTGGATAAAACTGAATCGAAATTTTTTCTTTGATACATGTTTCTTGCTGATTATAGCAAGCTAGAATAAAACAAAACGACTAAAACAATCGCTAGGATACTTTGATAAACTTAACACAATTTTATTTTTTCGAATAATTTTCAACAAATTAGTATAAAGTCATTATCATAGAATTTTCTCATGTTTTACTGTGAGGAAAACTAATATTTGTTTAATAAACTATTTGAATTTTTCAATAATTTCTGTAAAAATTTATTTCTAAATAATTGACTCACGTTCTCCATAAGCAAGCCATTTACAATATATATGTGATGGAAAAATTCGTCGATAATAAATAGCTAAATTCCATGGTGTAACAAATGTTTCATCAATTTTTTGTTTATCTTCATTCGACATCTGAAAACTAAATAATCGAATGATATATCTAGACGATTTTATTTAATGAAACCAAAGAAAAAAGAAGACAAACTGGGGGATATAAGTACGTTTATGAAGTAAATCAACTACTAAAAAGAAAACAATATTTTTCTGTTCGTTCTAATATATTGAAAATGAATTTTTTCGTTTTTTTTATTTAATTCTATGATTTATTGTTTTTGTTCTAAAGCAGCAGCACCTGATATAATTTCAATAAGTTCAGTTGTAATAACAGCTTGTCGTGTTCTATTATAATATGTTGTTAATTTATTAATTAAATCACCAGCATTTTTCGTTGCATTATCCATAGCTGTCATACGTGATGATTGTTCTGATGTTGCATTTTCTTTCATTGTATAATAAAGAACAGATGCTAAATTATATTCTTGAAATGAACGAAGAACTTCAGCATCAATTGAATCATAAACTTGTATTGATTTTGAATTTGCTATTGTTTCATTTGATAAGATTTTTTGACGTGATGTTGTATAAGCAATAGCCGATCTATTCAAAAACAAAACGAAAAATATTTCTTTTTTTTTAATTTTAATTTACTTGAATTTATTATAAACAATTTCAGCTGAATCAAATTCAAAACCAGAACTAATTAATTGTTGTGCAATAGCAGATGCATCACCAAAAACAAGTGATCGTTTACCAACTTCATTTATTGATAAAAGCATATTTGATGAATGTGTTCGTGCAATACCAGCACGTGATTTATCACCAATAGTAATAACTTTAGTACCTTCTAAATTTTGTTTTTCATCATTTAATTGTGTACGTATATTTTTTATAATTGATGAATTAGCTGCACCACAAAGACCACGATCAGATGTTGCAGCTATAAGTACTTGTTTTTGAGGATTTTCATTTTTTTCAATTTCCAAATGATCATAAAAAGCTATTATAGAAAATTATTTAAGTTTTTTTTAAAAATAATAATATTTTAATTTTCTTTTACATTTAGCACTTAAACCATATGGACGAGCAGCACGTAATTCTCTTTCGGCTTTAGCAAATTTAGCTGCTGAAACCATTTTCATTGATTTTGTAATTTTTTGAATACTTTTTACTGATTTTAAACGACGACTAACTAAATAAGAACAAAATATTCAAATAAAAAAAAAAAAACATTCGTTTAACTCAAATCTTACTATCTTTTAATGTTGCCATATTACGAACAGATGTGTTGTTCCTATAATAATTAAATCGATAGAAAATTTTCAAAAAAATTAAAAATAATACCAGAGAAGAACACCACTTGCTGGTTGTTGCAGAATGCCAACAGCTTTGACAACGAACGACATTTTTCGTTTTTTTCTTCTTCTCTGAAATAATTTAGTTGATGAAATTCTCTAAAAAGAATTATTAATTTAATAAATCATTTTGAACAATCTTTATTTCATTTTTTTTAATACGCAGAAAACAAAGTATATTTTTTGTTTTACTCTAAGAAACACACACACAGAAAGAGTATTTGATTATTTACTACATAACTATTCGTCAATTGTTTAGCAACTAATTCATTTAACACATTAATGCATTTGTAATTTTTGATTAATAAAAATTTTTTGAAAATTATGAAAAGAATTTTTAAAAAAAAAAGTTAAATCTAATATTAAATTATTTATTTAATAAATAAAATAAAAAATGATGAGTCATAATAGAGTCTGCATTTTTGCCTCGAAGAGAATCTTGTTCCAGATACGAAATCAAATATAATCGTTAAGAATAAAAAAAAAAAAAAGAAACAATGAGCAATAACTCATTAATATTAGGTAATTTTATTCCATCATCATTTCTTGAACAATCAACACCTATTCGACGAGTAACAAGTACTAGTAGTGATTCAGGAGATAGTGGAGTTGATCCAGTAAGATATTTTTATAGAAACTTTTTTTTTTCTGTTTTTATTTCTATAATTATTAAATAGTCATATCGACAAGAACGAAAAATATTTGTTGGTGGTGTTCCATCATCTGTTGGACCAGAAGAATTGGCTCATTTTTTTCAATCATATGGACAAGTTAATTATATTTATTTATTTCGTTTATATTCTTAATATTAATAGATTTAGGTTGAAGAAGCATTTATCATTTATGATCGATATAATGGTCGACATAGAGGTGAACTATTTTTTTGTTGTTTTAATTAAAATAAAATATGAATTTATTTTAGGATTTGGTTTTGTAACATTTGCAGATATGTCTACAACAAAAGTTGTTTGTTCTACACGAATTTTTAATCTTCATGGACGAAAGGTTTTCTATTTTTGTTTTTCTTATAAAATTTTTTATTTTTTCAATATTTAGATTGAATGTAAACGAGCATTAAAACGTGAAGAAATTTTAGGTACAAATGAAAATGATTATAAATCTTTTCGTCCAAGTTTGTTTTTTATTTTTTATATTTTAATATATATATAAATTAAATATAAATAGATAAAACTTGTCCATCTCCACCAGTTACATCAAATTCAATTCCAACAAATCTACCATTATGTCCAACATCAATTCCAATGTCATATGGACAATATCGTCAATTACCACCTGGAATAATTAATACACTTAGTGGTTGGATTGTTAATCCATCAATGCAAACAATACCACAAATGTTTCATCCTATGTTTAATCCTAATCAACAATATGGTAAATATTATTATTAATTGAGATTAACTTATACAAAGATTAGACTTTCTTAATTAAGTTTATTCTAATCAATAAAACAAAATAAATTTTTATTTTTGAATAAAAAAAAGCGACATCTTCAGATAAATCATTTCGAATAAATTTTTTTAATGAAAATGAATCCTTTACGGAATAAAATCTAATGTTTCTTTAGATATTCTACTAATTTATAACAGTTTTGAAAATTTATTTGCTTATATTTAGCAATGTCATGACGAAGTAACTAAGATAAGGAATAGATCATCGAGGAGAGACAGTTGCCCCCAGGAGATTCAATCCGATCTGTAGATTCGATCGGATCCGTCTCGGATTTCATCAGAATCCGACATCTTTCATGAAAAACCGATCGGATCCGACAAGGTTTTTGTCGGATTCCCATCAGCCGGATTCCATCGGAATTCGACGGAACACGAAGAAATCCGGGCCGGATCAGGTCGGATTTTATCACGTTCCGTCGAATTCCGATGAAATCCGGCTGATGGGAATCCGACAAATATAGGACCGGATCCGACCGAAATTATTCCGAACTGGCGAGATCCGACTGGGGTCGTTTGACCTGGTAGATCATCTATTGTTTAGAGAACCAAGTGATGATAGGTTCTCTCTAATCTCGGTCATCAGTTTGAAGATGATCGTAGTTTCATGCAAAATTCTTTTACCCAACTCTTCCGTCAACTATCATAGATGAGAACGATTCGGTTCGAAAAATTGAATATATTTTTATTATATTTAGCTGTATTTCCATTGTCAACAATCATGTGGAATAATCCATATCAACATCCAACAATGCAATCACCGTTTATTCAAGTAAATTAATTGAGATATTTGAGGTTGTTGTTGTTTTTTTTATTCCTTCTAAAAAACAATATTCGAATATATATATTTTGATTAAACAAATAGAATTTTTAAAGAGAATAAATCTAAAATTATTTAAATGAAAAGTAAAAAAATATTATTAGCAGATATTTAAATTATAATGTTAAATAAAATGTTGTTTGATGATATTTTTTTGTTAAATATAAGAAATAATTTAGGAGATAATGGTTCCATCATCACCACCATCAGCAGCAATGATGAATTTATAATAAATGTCGATCTATAATTTCATTTTTTTTTTTCTTCTGTCATTTAAAAAAAATTGTACAATATGATCTGTTATTTTGAACAGTTGTTCTTTATTCTGCTAAAATTGATATTTTTTTTCTTTCTACTCTTCTGAGTAAGGATATTCGTTTCGTTGTTACTTTTTCGTTAACTATGTAAATATCTATACAAAATACATCATTTATTCAGATATTATTGATTGCATTGATGTTGTTAAACGTGTGTGTCGGTGTTATATCTCTATATATATATATATTTTTCATTTCTTTATTATTCTACTTGTGTTGTCGTGTGTTCCATTTTGGAAAAAAAAAAAATAAAACTGAGTATGGAAGAAGAATTATCTTCTAATAAGATATATTTATTATTTTACAACAATATTAACAATTATTATATTAATTATTACTAATGTATTGTATTAAGTTTTTTTTTTTTTTTACTCGAAATATTCTATTAATAGAAATTATGATTTTAATAATTCTTTTAAAGCATATTTTTTTGAGTACTAAATCAATTGATAATAATACATAGAAAAGAAAAATATTAAAGGATGTATTTTATTGAAGAAAAAAAAAACAAATGTGAATAATCTTGAAATTGTATGAACTCAGAATGGCAAAATAAAACAAATCCTCAACTTGTATAATAGAAATTCCAGTTTTAGAACTCATTTTTAAATATGTTGTTTTTTTTTTTGCTTGGGCAAATTTTTCTCGAGTTTGAGATTTTGAATTCAATTTTTAAGATGATTGACGTTTTGTTTTTTTTTGTCAATAAGATTGATGAAATGTATCAGTGAAATATTAGATGATAAAATTTATCTAAACAAACAAAAAAAAATGTTTCTTTTTTTATGCATGTAATTAATTGATAGGTTAATGAAAATGAATAAAGCATTCTTTTTTTAAAATTACTAGTTAGTTCACTTATAATGAAACATCTACTTAAGTCTTATTGACTATTGTTTTAAACATATCTTATTTACTTAATGGACAGATGAATAATATCTATTGAAAATGATACAATATCTCGTTTTTTTTTTGAAAGATAATATTGAGACTTCTATCAATGGTTTTAAATAATATTATTGATAGTTTATTAATCAAACTCAAAAATTTTTTTTTTTACTAATTTACTTATAATTTTCAAATAATCTAGTTATATGTACGTGAGAAAATATCTCATCTGTTGTGTTAAACTGTATATGAAAAATTTATTACTAACAGATATCATCTCATTATTTTCATAACTTTAACTTCTATTTAAATACTTATCATTTTAGAATAAATAAAAACAATATTTAATAATAAAAATCTCAATAATTTTTTAATAAGATTATTCCGACAATGTTTCAAGTAAATACAAGTTTGATGATTAAATTTTCTATTTGAAGTTCTATAAAATAGACACAACAGAAACAATATATGACATTCTTTCTTTCTTAGTAAACGTTACCTTATCTTTACTTATATAACACGTAAAGGTACAAACATAAACGATTACATCGATGTAGAATTATTTATCATTATTAAATGTTGTTAATTGATATACATATATATTTATATATATATATATAATTAAAAGAAAGAAATATTTGTTTGGTCAAATAAAACAAAAAGAATTATGATGAGAATAAAGATGACTTAAAATACATAAAATATAAAAAAACAAAAAAAACAAAACCTTTTTTTTTAATGATATAACAATATGAGATCCAAACAAAAACTTGTTCAAGTTGAATCTGTGTGTTCTTTTTATTTGTCGAAGAAAAAAAAATATATATATATTGTTCTAATTCAATAAATCAATCATGATGGTTTCCATGGAAAAAATTCACCACGTACATCTCTATGTTGAATTTTATCTCTTGCATCTTTACAAAGAATATCTCCTGAATCTCCATCAAGTAATGTTATTGTTGGAATACCATTTATATGAAATTTTTTTCCTATTTCTTCTTTTTTCTTTCGTTCACTATAACGTAATGTTAACCAAGGCATATCTTTATAATATTCATTAAATGCTTTTTCATCACGATCCGAACTTATATATATTATTTCAAAATTTTTTTCTTTATTATAATGTTTATAAAATTCAATTAGTATTGGAGTAAAACCACGACATGGTGGACACCTATATATAAAAACAAAAAAAAAAACATTATTTTCGATAAAATTTTTCAATAAATTCATAAAACATACCAATGTGCACTGAAATAAAGACCAATTACTTTACCCTTATATTTTTCATCATTAAGATCAACTTCTTCGTTAGATTGATTCACAATATTTCCGTCAAATAGTTTTGCAACACCGGCCATATTCGGTTTATTTATGTTTTACTTTATATATATATATATTGCCAAGAAAAGAATAAGTGTAGTAATGACAATTGCAGCGTCTTCAATGACTTGCATTTTTCTTTGTTGTTCTTAATACTACGGCAGTTTTTCGTTCTTTTTTTTTTTTCTTTTTGGTTCTCAGCTGCCGCGTTTACAAGAGGAAATCGATAAGGATAAAAAGAAAGGGTAAAAAAGAAAAGCGAATGAATATTTGGCGTGCATACATTCTATACAAATACAGAGAAATCATATCTTTTCAGCTGTCTCTTTGTTATTTTTTTTAATGCGTGGATGTTGTAATACATATTATTCAACGAATAAAGTCAAAAATCTTATTCTACATCACTTGAAAAGAAAAATAAAATTTCTTGAATTGATAAAAAATAAATATATTCATTGAAATTATTCGAATAATACAGGTTAATGAGTATTTTTTCAATGTTCGACAGTTATGTCATTTTTCTATTTTAAACCCTAAGATAAAGTTCTTGTTTTTTTGTTGCAAGTGCCACAAGTAATAGGAGTTATTGACTTAGCTAAAGGCGAAATAATTAAGTTATAATATACAATCGAATCCTTTTATGATAGATTATTATTGAACAAAAAAAAAAAACCTAAATCTATCATCAAATCTTTGAAAATTATCTGAAAGAAAAACTATTTTTATCTTTATATTAAGCAAATAATATTTTGAGGATTATCTGCAGAAAAATCATTAAGTTGTTAAAAGAAAAAAAAAAAAGCGTCATCTAAAGTATATCATATTTGTTTATGAATTTAAAGACACTATTAAGAAATAAAATCTATATGAAATTTAATAATTCAATGAGCTTTTATATTTAAAAAAAAAGCAATAAAATATATATATTCCTAAGTTTAATAATTTCCATTATGTTCAAAAAATTATATGATAATATTAATTTGACATCAATCATTATAATCATAATGATACAAATGGTAAAACATTTCATGTGTGATAACTCAAACCTAAATTACTATATACAAATCATTTTTAGCAGATTTCTTTATATAACACTGTAAAATAATTAATTATTTTATACCATTTTGTTTTTTTGAAGATCGATATCGATTAATTTTAAGCCAAAAACTGGAATTGAAATCGATACATCTCTACATATTTAATTACATTTTACATATACTGTTTTTGGTAATGGATATGTAACCTACATAATTTTAAAGAGTAGTGCAGTTTTTTTTTTATCATATCAATCAACACACATATCACTATGAAATCATTTCATACGTTGACATATAAAATAAATAAATCATGACGTTTTTTTTTGTAAATATCAAACTATTCCTGCAATAAAAAGAAACATGAGCTATGAAAAAACAAAAAGATAATGGAATCAAAATAAAAAAAAAAAGTTAAAAAAAGAAATAAACATTCGTTTCTATTTTATAGAAATTGAAAAGTGTCTGCCTACTTTAATTGATGACAATTCTAAATTTGTTTTACATTATTATTCACTTGCTTGTGCAAAGTATGCCTCCAGCTTGACAAATAAATGCTTCTTGTTTTATTTTATTTTACCTTCTATAATGGAAATAATTGTTGTTCTTGTTATATTGAAAAGAATTTTGAAATAGAAGTCAGAGTTTTATTAATTTCTTGATTGTTTCTCAGTATGAAACGATTTCTTACTAAAGATAAAATTCATTAGAATCAACAATGTAAATATAATTGTTAGACTCATTGAATTTCACTTTCGTTTTGTGTATAAAATTTACTATTTGACCATAC